GATTGGAGCCGAGTCCAGCTGCCGAGGCTCGGATTGGAGCCGAGTCCAGCTGCCGAGGCTCGGATTGGAGCCGAGTCCAGCTGCCGAGGCTGGGATTGGAGCCGAGTCCAGCTGCCGAGGCTCGGATTGGAGCCCAGCCCGGCTGTTTTTATCTCCTGCTTCTTCATCCACCACAGACAAAAGGACAGATCAGCCTTGACAGTGTTTTAATCTCTTAATCTGCAGGATTATATCTGACAGTGTTTTAATCTCTTAATCTGCAGGATTATATGACTGTTTCAGGTGCTGCTCTGTCCCTCTGCTGTGGCTACATCTCACTAAGGCTTAGAGGGAGCACTGAACCTCTGCATGTTTAATCCCTGGCCCACCTGTGGTCTCTGTTGTAAATAGGTAATAAGATATTTCCAGGCCCTCTCTGTTGCGTTCAGTGAATAACTTTGATTTTCTACTGTCCTCTGCAACAACCTGAGTCTTATTTTCAGTCTTTGTGTTTCGTCTCATTTTTAAACCTGAATGTTTGAAGACATTTAGTTATTTTTCCTCTTAGCAGCTGGAGTTGAATGTCAGTTCAGTGGTGTAATAACATGTAATAACATGTTTATTAGCCCCTAATTGTTTCAGTTTCTAAAGGATTTGATTAAATATTCGGTTTGTTTTTCAAATGTTTGAAAATGTTGAAACGCCACAAATGACAAATTTGGTGAAAACTGTAGCAAACGTTCTGGTTATGAAATTTAGTTTGTTTTTGTTTTTGTTTATTTTTTGCAGCTTTAATTGTAACATGACTGCAGCTACAGATTAAGAGTTTGTTCCTATATAAAGTTAGAACGATGTAATCTGTAGAAATGAATGATTAAAACTATTTTGAAACCTGAGATGATTTTAAAACAAAAGAAACTAAATGTGAGCATATTTGTGTAAATAAGGTACCATAAACTTCTAAAAATAAACGAGTTTAAAAGAGATGAAGTCTGTGACGTCATTCGGCGCACCTCAGACACTCTGCTTCTTTGTGTTGCATCATGGGAAATCTGAAGAGATCGGTCCAGGTATCACCTGCACACCTCAGCTGTCCAACCAGACAAATATAAACCATGGACATGTTTAAATTCATGTATGGCAGGCCATTTTAACAAAAAATCAGCTTCCTTCAATGTAGTTGTGTTCGACCTACACTGTCCAGCCTATGGTTTTACAACAGACCCCGTATTTGAGGACTGGGCTCCATCTGGACATATAAAAAAGCATTTAACTCAAAAATTATTCAACATAGGTGCTAAAGATTGTTTTATTTTATTTTATTTTTTTTATTTTAGCTCTGATGAGGGGCTATCCATCGGGCCCACCAATGAGCACTCCACCCCCACCCCTTCTGGCCCCCACCCAAAATAATACATACGTTCTGGTGACTTCTGAGGTCTGGACCCGTATTTATCAAACTTCTTAGAGTGGATTTTTAGACTTAAGTGCTGAAAATGTCTTAGATTTGCTCCTACTCTCTGACTTAAATGTAAGTACCAGTTATCAGAAGTCTTAAGTCTAAGAATCCCTCTTACTCTGAAGAAAAGTTCAGACTGCTCCAGAGGACTCTTCAGTGGTTCAGAGTTTCCACTAGAGGTCTGAGATGGACTGAAGACAGAGATTACAGCTGTCCTCCTCCCCACCTCACTGTTATTCTCAGTTAGAAGATGGAAAACAGGTTTAATCTGAACTATACAAAAGAAAGAAAGGTAAAAAAATAACTGTGCATAAAGTTGGACTAAAATGTGGTTATCTGTGTGTGGCTTTTGGAGAAAATATTAAATATACTCAGCTGGTGAGTGCATGCACTTAAAGTGAGACTGACACTTAAGAATTACTCCTACACTTCACTTAAAGTAAGAC